CAGTTATGAAGTGACTCTGGGCCAATTGCTGTCCTAAGGGCTTAGTTACAGTACTGCATTTAAGTCTCATGAGAGCTGCCTGGAGACACACTACACTGTCCTCTCTGAATGATGGGTGAAGAGCTCAAGACACGTGGCAGCAAAACCAGATTTGAACCAGGCAGTCAGGCCACAGGGCCGTGCCTGAACTAACTCCCTGTGTTCTCAGTGGAGCACCATGGCCGGTGCACCTGCTCAGCCAATCCCTCCTTTGATACCCATCAGCGGGCCACATGGTCAAGATTAAACTGCTCCAGCTCTCTTGCCTCACTCCAGAGAAAGAGCCTGGAGTAGCAGGGAGCCGGGCTAGAGGCTTAAAAGGCAGGTAGTTAAGGGTCTAGGGTCATACTGCACACCATACTGCAAAGGAGACTGGGCTGGCAGCAAGAGGCAAGGTGTCAAATTATAATTTTCCCATCCATTGGCTACAAGGCCTTAGACACTCACTCCCTTCCTTTCTTTTTCTTCTTCTCTTTTTTTTTTTTTAATTAATTACATTGCATTATGTGACACAGTTTTATAGGTACTTCTTTCTTTTCTAAAAAAAAAAAAAAGATTTATTTATTTTTATTACAATGTCAGATATACAGAGAGGAAGATCTTTCATCCGATGATTCACTCCCCAAGTGACTGCAATGGCCAGTGCTGCGCTGATCCAAAGCCAGGATCCAGGAACCTCTTCCAGGTCTCCCACGTAGGTGCAGGGTTCCGAGGCTTTGGGCTGTCCTCAACTGCTTTCCCAGGCCACAAGCAGGGAGATAGATGGGAAGTGGAGCTGCCGGGATTAGAACCGGCACCCATATGGGATCTCGACACGTTCAAGGCGATGATTTTAGCTGCTAGGCCACCATGCTAGACCTACTCACTTCTTTTCTTTACATAGATTTCTCCTCTTAAGCCTAGTGGCCAGCAAGTTAAACTGGCACTCAAGACACAGGCATCCCCTGTGAGCACCAGTTTGAAGTTCAGGCTGCTCTGCTCTTGATACAGATAGCTTGTCTCAGCTGATGTGCCTGGGAAGGCAGTAAAGGATGGCCCAGTTGCTTGGGCCTCTGCCACCCACATGGGAAACCCAGATGAAATTCCAGGCTCCTTGGCCTAGCCCTGCCTATTGGGGCCTTTGGGGCATGAACCAGTGGATGGAAGATCTCAATCTCTCTCTCTCCAAACTGTGCCTTCCAAATGAATCTTTTTTTTTTTTTTTTTAATATATTTAAGGTTGAACAGACATCCCTAAGATGCCTTCCAGCCTCTCAGTTGACCATGAATCTGATATGAAAGAACCCTCCACATCCCACCCTCTGCCATCCCCTCCTTTGGAGCCAGTTCTGCAAAACTAAAAGAAGCTCTTTAGTCTGTCTCCCCTGACCACTATGTCCTTATCACTTAGGAATGTAAGACCCCCTCAGGGTTCCAACAGTAAATAATCACCATCATTCAAAGAACAAATCATTAACTAGGCTCTAGATTCTACTCTGACTTCCCAAAAGGGTGGCACACACCCTGTTATTCCAGAGGTTGACACACACGCGCATGCGCACACATGCATGGCTCCCATTCCACTCGTTCAAACCCTAAGCATATGCAATGGCCAGGTCTCTGCCACAGACAAACAGTGAGTAGTGGGGACTCAACTACTTGCTTCCCAGATTCTACAGTAGCAGGAAGCCAGTCCAAATCAAACCCAGAGACTGCAATGGAGAATGTTGCCAGCAACACGTCTAGGCCAACTGCTCACTGAAATGAACAACTCTTGAAAAGCCAGGTATGAGTTAACCTGTCGCTTCTCCAGACAGGTACTGAGCGCAGCCATGGACAAACCACTTATGTGTATGGCTGGGTGAGACAAAGTATGACTATTTCCTGTCCTCAAGATCCCAGGGCCTGGTGCAATGGCTTGATTGGTTAATCCTCTGCTGGGATCCCACATGGGTGCCAGTTCATTCATGTCCCAGATGTTCCACTTCTCATCCAGCTCCTTGCTTGTGGCCTGGGAAGCAGTAGAGGATGGTCCAAAGCCTTGGGAACCTGCACCTGTAGGGGAGACCCAGAAGAAGCTCCTCACTCCTGAATTCAGATCAGTTCAGCCCCAGCTGTTGTGGTCATTTGGGGAGTAAACCAGAGGATGGAAGATCTTTCTGGCTCTGCCTTTCCAATAAAAATAACTTTTAAAATAAATCCCAGTATTAATAGGAAGGCAAATATACAAATAACTTCAAGGAGGCCTGTGTTGTGGTGGCACTGTGCATTAAAAAAAAAGATTTATTTTTATTGGAAAGACAGAAAAGGAGAGACAGAGAGGAAGATCTTCCATCTGTGTTTCATTCTCCACATGACTGAAATGGTGATCCAAAGCCAGAAGCTAGGAGCTTCTTCTGGGTCTTTGTGTGGATATGGGGTCCCAAGGCCTTGGCTCATCCTCTGTTTCTTTCCCAGGTCATAAACAAGGAGCTGGATGGGAAGTGGAGCAACCTACACCAGAAGTGGTGCTCAAATGGGATGCTGGCAGTTCAAGTTGGAGAAACCACTGATTGTAGCAAATCCTATGGAAGCACCGGCTGGGAGTCCTGTTTACTCTGCTTCTGGTCTAAACTCCCTGTTAATGCATCAGAGAAGGCAATTGAAGATACCCTTGCCACTCACGCGGGAGACCCAGAGAGAGCTCCTGATTCCTGGCTTTAACCTGGTCCAACCCTGGACACAGCAGCAGTTTGGGAAATGAAGTAGCAGCAGAAGATATATTAGCCTTTCAAATAAATATTTTCAAGTCCAGCTCAACAGGATGGAAAAAGGAAGTGGAGTTACTTCCGACTCGTGTCTCTCTCTCTCTTTTTAAATTTTTATTGCAAAGTTAGACATACAGAGAAGAGAGACAAAGAGGAAGATCTTCCATCCATTGATTCACTCCCCCAAGTCCCCGCAACGGCTGGAGCCGGGCTGATCCGAAGCCAGGAGCCAGGAGCTTCTTCCGGGTCTCCCACGTGGGTACAGGGTCCCAAAGCTTTGGGCTGTCCTCTACTCTCTTCCCAGGCCACAAACAGGGAACTGAATGGAAAGCAGGTTGGCCAGGATTAGAACTGGCGCCCATATGGGATACTGGTACATTCAAGGTGAGGACTTTAGCTGCTAGGCCACCATGCCGGGCCCTCGTGTCTCTTTTCTTAATGATGAATTATTTTTGTCTACTTGAAAGGCAGAGTGAGGCAGACGAAGGAGGACATTAGCCTCTGCCTAAGGTGCTGACATCTGCTACAGGAGACAGTTCATGTCCCCGCTGCTCTGCTTCTCACCCAGCTCTTTGCTAATGGCCTGGAAAGGCAGCAGATGATAGCCTAAATGCTTGGACCCCTACTACACAAATGGGAGGCCAGGAAGATGCTCCTGGCCCCAGGTTTGACCCAGCCCTGGCTGTTGGGACTATCTGAGGAGTAAACCAACAGATGGAAGATCTTGGTCTCTCTTCTCTCTTTCAAATAAAGGCCTTCCAATTCACTGGTTTACTCCCCGAATGCCCACGAGGACTCATCAGGCTGAAGCCAGAGCCAGGAACTTCACCTGGGTCTTCTGTCTGGGTGGTAGGGGCAAAGCTGCTGCAAGGGTGCATTAGCAGGAAGCTGCATCGGAAGCAGAGGGGCTGGGATTGGAACCAGCAGGCTGATTTAAAGGATATGCGGGCCTGTGACTTAACCCTGCTGTACCACAAAGCCTGCTCCCAGATAACAGAGGAGGGGACTAGGCAGAGAAACCTATTTCTTTAAAAAAAAAAATTATTATTTTGATTGCAAAGTCACAGATATACAGAGAAGAGGAGAGACAGAGAGGAAGATTTTCTGTCCGATGATTCACTCCCCAAGTGAGTGCAACGGCTGGTGCTGTGCTGATCTGAAGCCAGGAGCCAAGAACTTCCTCCAGGTCTCCCTCACGGCTTTGGGCCATCCTTGACTGCTTTCCCAGGCCACAAGCAGGGAGCTGGATGGGAAGTGGAGCTGCCGGGATTAGAACCTGTGGCCATATGGGATCCTTGCACATGCAAGGTGAGGACTTTAGCTGCTAGGCCACCGCGCCAGGCCCTAGATACCTGTTTCTTGCACTTAACCTCAACCCTTTACTCCCTGCAGCCTGGGTGGCAAAATGTGTACTCTGATTGGGGACCCTCGGCCTCACCCTGCATTCCTCCAGCACCAGCTGATGCTATCTCTCCATACAGGTTGGGACAGGCAGCTCTTGGAACATCTCACCATCTTCCTGTCTGGGAAGCCGACTGAGACCCAAGGAAGACTCGTCCACCCCTTTCCAGAACAGGTGGGTCCCCCTTGCCTATTCTCGAACACATTCCAGGACACACCCTTGAACCGACCCTCCCTCCCTCTCTCCCCACCCTTCTGGAAGCTGGCTCTGCTTCCCTTAGAAGTGCCCAGGTTTTGGTGGGAGGAGGAAAGACTGATACAATCAGAGGTGAGGCAGGGTGGAGCCCACAGAACTGGCATTCCCAGTGGTACTATTTCCTGTCCTGATGGCCCCTTTGGTCCTCCCTCAGGTGGAGGCTGGTCCCTCAGCCATCTACCACTTTTCCCCCTTAGCAGCTTTTCCTCAGGGTGTCTCGGAGGCACACAGGATTTGGTGAGCCTTGGCGACGCTGGACAGGTTGCGGGCAGCATGCACGTGCTGGGCTGGGAGCCTAACCCTGCGGAATGGACTTTGGGTTGGCCGGTAGAGGTGGTCACAGCAGCAGCCCAAGGCCTTGTAATCACTTCTTGCTGGCCTGGCCTGCTGGGCATTTCCTTCGTCTGCACATCCCTCCACTCTTCAGACATCATCTCCGCCTTCTTCCCTCCCGTTCTGCTCTGCTGAGAAGCAGTCACAGAGCTCTCAGTAGGAGCTGCTAAACCCACCTGTATCTCAAAGCTCACTCACCAGAAACTTACTGAAGTAGGGACAGGTGAGGAGAGGTCAATGTGATGGACCGTCAGCTAAAAATGTTTATTTTTCAAGTGGGAAGGGGCAAGGGAGTTAACACAGAGGCATCTTGAGGTACCCTCTTTCCCAGTCCACCATCCCTGCCATCCCCCACCCCATGTGCTCCCCGACACAAAGCACCGCCAGGAGGGGCTGCAGGACAGCATCCCAAAGTGAAATTCCAGCAAGGTTGGTACATCCCCAGAGCTCATCACGGGCCCCTGGGGGTGGAACCAACAGGCTCAGAGCTCAGGAGCGTGAGGCTCCCCACTGGGGGAGGGCACCCGCAGTTCGGCGTCGTGCCTCACCACGGTGAAGAGTCCTACGACGGCCAGCAGGGCCATCACCATGACAGCAGAGCAGATGCTGAACATGTTGCGGGTGCCTGTCTTGCGGTCACTGTCATGGAGGACAAGGAGGCCCAGGCAAGCCAGCAAGTGCAGGGGGACCCGGAACCAGTTGAGCACCCCAGCTTGCTCTGTCTCGGGGATCACCTTTCTCCGTAAGAAGCTCATGCTGGGAAAGTACAGCCCACAGGCCAACTCAATAAGGAGAAAGGCTATGAAGGACTCCACCGGACTCTCCTGGCCCGGGCTGGTGGAGAATGTCAACATGAAGAGAGAGAAGACAACGATGAGCACAGCAAGGGAGAGCAGGTGCATGGGCTGAAGGTGGTATCTCTTGGAAGTGGCAATGCGGTACAGGGAAGAGCCCAGCAGGCTTGCTGCCATGAAGCTGGAGAAGATAATGCCCAGTGGGGCCCCGTGTGGGTCCAACACAGGTGTCCAGAGGAAGATAAAGATGAAGATGACGCTCTCAAACAAAGCTTGGATGGTGCCCAGCAGCAGCACACGGCGGTCCGACAGGAGGCAGCGCAGGCCCCCGGCACAAGTCCTTGAGAAGGCCCGCTGCCGGTCGTAATTCTCTCCCCAGTTGCGAAGGGCCAAGAAGCCAGCCAGGGCCAGAAGAGGGATGGCGGCCACAAAAGGTGCCACAGGTCCCAGTCCCATCCAGCCAGCCACGGCCTCAGCCGCCACACCTGCCATGACGGCCAGCACGTGATTCCAGAAGGCTGCGCGGGCAAAGGTAGTAGGGATCCACTCAGCAGGGAAGTCATGGCGCTCCACATGCTCGTGAACATACCAGGCCTCGAAGGCGGAGAAGAGCAGGGCTGTGGAGAGGCCCCCGAGCGCCCGGCCCACCAGCAACACAAAGTAGTCCTGTGACAGCTTGGTCAAGCAGCAGAGTGAGTAAGTGAGGGAGAAGAGGACACAGGATTTCTTCCGGCCCAGCCAGTCCACAAGGGAGGAAGCCACCAGGCCAAAGAGGACAGTGGAGGCCAGGCCACAGACGTAGAGGATGGCGATCTGAGCCTCCAGGAAGTGGTAATGCTGATAGAGTTTATAGAGGTAGGGAGCCTGCAGCCAGTCCGCTGCCAGGGCCAGGAAGTAGACCTGATAAAAATCCAGTTGGAACTGAAGGAAAGAGGGATTGCTGCAGGCCCTTCCAGGGGGCTTGGCCCGGCATCTGGACAGCTCCAGCCCCAGGCAGGAAGCCAGGAGACCCACAAACACCAAGTAGGCCGTCACCAGCATGGTGGGCCCCCGGACGACCTGCAGAGAGAGAGAGGGAAGGGGTGGTGGGAGGGTCAGAGAGCAAGTCCATGGCCTCGGGAAGTTCAGTCAAGGGGGCTGGGTGTCAAAGCACCCGGCAAACCCCACCCACCGCCAACTCCACTCCCCAAGACTGGAGGGACCAGTTGGTTGGGTGGGAGGAGTGGCCCTGTCACAGCTGTCTCCCAGGAGAAGACTGGGAGAGGACTGAGTATGCACCCCGCCCTTGCCTGGCAGAGCAAAGGGGGTGTCCTTTCCAGAATTCCGGCCCTTGCCAATGCTAAAGGGGCAACTGTCCTCTTAACACCTTTCTTTCTATTCCCTCCCATGCAAACCAAACAAGAGCCCGTTTCTGCCCTCAGTGTCTTGCAATCCGTCCGGGCATCCCTCCCACCCGCGCGGATCTCCCGAGTTGCTTCAGGGGTCACGCGCGCGCATCTCAGGTTCCCCTCCTCCTCCCTTTCCCTCCTCTTCCCCGCACCCGGCGCCCCCTGGCCCCCGCCCAGAGCGCGGCCACACCCGCTCGCTCGCACCGCGCCCAGAATCCCGTCTCACCTGCTGTCCCGGTCTTCGGGGACGCTCCGGCCGCGTCCGGCTCCAGGCCGCCCTGCCGCCCGCCCCGCTTTGACTCCGGCTCGGCTCCGGGCCCCAGCAGCGCTCCCGCCCCTCACAGCCTGCTTCCGGGAGCCGGGCAGGGCTCTGGCCAGCGCCATGATGGCCCCGTCACGTGACGGGGACGCCCCGCCTTCCCGCGGGGAACCGGGAGCCGGCGCCCCAGCCGGGACGCCCCGGGCGGGGCGCGCCAAGGGGACGGGAGAGGCGGCGACGAAGGCTGTTCCCGGTCCCGGTCCGGTAACACCTGCTCCTCCGGCGCGTGGAGACGTGCGGCGCCACCCCGGAGTCAAGGCGCATTTTCTCTCTTTTCTTGCCCGACGCGCTCGGGGAAAGATGGCTGCAGAGCGAGGTGGTGCAGGAGCTTCCCGGGAACTACGCTGCCCTGACCCCTCGCATCTTGGTGACCTCCCCGGCAGGACGTCAGTACGGTTCAGGCACCTGAGGGAGGCGGTGTGGTGTAAAGAACTTGGCTGTCGACAGTCCTACCGCTCTCACCAGCTGCGCGCGACCGTGGCCTTGGGGCAAGCCGCGTAACTTCCCAGTGTCCCAGTTTCTTTGAAGCAGGGCTCAAATTAAAAGGGCTAAAGTTCAGTGCCAGCAGAGGGTTAAGAACTTCAGGCCTGGAGCTGAACTCTCTTCCGTGGACAAGGTCGGTGAGCCTCTCTCCAGCTCCAGGACCACCTGCTCGAGATCTTCTTACTAGCTTTTCCTTTGACAAAGAATGAACACCAAACTTCTGATTTAGAGGGGCATGCCTTATGGCTGGTGGCATCCCATGTGTATGCCAGTTCGAGTCCCGGCTGCTCCAATTTCGCTGCAGCTACCTACTGAACAATGCTTCTAGCAGGGGAGGTACCATGATCATGCTTCTGGGAAACAAGCAGTAGATAGGCCAAGTTCATGGGCCCCTGCTACCCACGTAGGAGACCAATATTGGTGTTCCAGGCTTCCGGCTTCCACCTGAAACAGTCCTGACAGTTGCAGCTACTTGTGGATTGAACCAGCAAGTAGAAGAGCCTTCTGTATCTCTCCAGTTCTGCCTTTCAAAAAGATGAAGCTATAATCTGTGTGTATACCTACAAGCTGCTAATTTCCTGGCCTCATCCCCTACTTCCCTCCTACTCTGTCTGGCTACCACCGGAGACTTTGCACACACTTCCCTCAGATATTGCCATGGTGCTGTCCCTCACCACCTCCAGTTCTGTGTGCAAATGTCACTTTATCAGACAGGCCTTCCTTGACCATGCTCTTTAAAATAGTAGCATAACTGCCCCTCCCTCACCCCATCCGCCGTAATCCACCTACTTTCCTTGCACCTCTTTATTCTTTGCTGCCTGTGCACCACAGACAGCACCTGACATCACCTGAAACACTTTATATTTCATCGGTTTGCTGATTTACTCTCGCTTCTCTTTACAGATTTTTATCTCTTTTGCTCACCTGTGTCCCCAATACTTAAGACTCTGTATGTCCTGGGTACATAGAAAACATGCCATGAATATTCTCTGAATAAATGAATGAAAATTCATGCATATGGCTGTGAAAAATATTGGTCCATGTTAACCATCAACACTTCCCAGTTATTATTTATCTGGGATTTACCTGGGCTCGCTCGCTCACTCTCTGTCTCGCTTTCTCTCTTTTTTTAACTGAAGAGGCAGAGACAGAGATTTTTCCATTGCTTGGTTTGCTCTCCGGATACCCACAGTGGCTGCAGCTGGACTGGGTGCAAGCCAGGAGCTGGGAGCCTGATCGAGGTCTCCCACGAGGAGTGGAATCTCGTATTAGGAATTTAACCTAGTATGAGAATGCAGATCCTAACCCAAACCTTTAAAAATATATTTGAATCTTTGAAAGGCAACAGTGGCAAAGAGAGAGAAATTTGTCATCTTCTGGTTCACTCCTTAAATGGGTTGCAGCAGCCAGGGCTAGTCCAGGCTGAACCCAGGGACCAGGACCTCCATTTGGGTCTCTCACTTGGGTGGCAGGGGCCCAAGTACTTGAGGCATTGTGATCTGCTGCCTTGCAAGGTGCATTAGCTGGAAGCAGAGGGCCTGAACTGAGAATGCAGTATGGGGTGCTGGTGTCACAGAGTCAGCCTAAAGCCTAATCTGCCAACACCACGAGTCCAGGTCAGGATTTTTTTTTTTTAAAGGCATAGTTACTGAGAGATTTTCCATCTGCTGGTTGGCTTCTCAAATGGCTACACTGGCCAGGGCTAAAGCCAGGAGCTTCTCCCGGGGCTTCCACATGGGTGCATGGACCTAAGGACTTGGGTTATCCTCTGCTGCTTTCCCAGGTGTGTTAGCAGGAGGCTGAATTGAAAGTGAGGTACCCAGGACTGGGAAACTGTGCCCATATGGGATGCTGGTGCTGGGGACAGCAGTTTAACCCACAACTCCAACCCCCCTGTTCGGAATCTACCACTAGCCCAATTGCCTGCCAGCCCTCCGGCTCGGTTTTAAGGAGTCCTGGCCTGCTGTAGATGGATTCTTTCACTTGACTTCATAACAAGCATCAGGCAGATACTGTTACTGTCTCTCAGAGCTGGAAAGACCAACTATCATGTTCAGACTCAATGATGAGAGGCACAGCCCAATTCATATCTTTCAGTCCTTTCCAAGATGCACTGGGTTCAGCTGCCTGCACAGATGACTAGTACAGGCTGGTTATCTGCACACTGCAGCTTGGAGGATGCAAGATAGGACTGTCTGTGATTACATCTTGCGATAATGTCAACAGCTGTTTTATATCCTGTAAGATGCAAAGGGCCTTGCCCCCTAGCTGGCAAACTCCTGGGCAGCGGGGGGCAGTAATGGTTCCTGAATTTTCATCCAGGAACGCTGAGGTTTAAGAGCCCCTGATTACCCCAAGGTCACTTAGGAAGTAAGGGCATGGAGTGACCCCAGTGCCCTCCATTACAATGCTGGGCTTCAGCCCTGACGTTTCCCCTGCTCCCTCAGAACTGGGAGGTACAGCTGGAAAAGCTTCTGCGTGTGGTGGGGTTGCCAGTAGAAGCTGAGAAGGAGTGAAAGGGCAGAAGCCGTCTCTAGGCCAGGCTGCAGTGGGGCAGGGAGGGTTGGGATCTGCGTGGGGGCAGCCCCCCAGGGGAAGGCCTAGTTTTCAGGGCAGGTGGGAGAGACGTTCTGAGAGTTCCCATGATTACCAGAGGAGCATCTTTTTAAACCCTTTATTATGAGAATGTTCAAACAGGGCAGTAGGCCGCACAGCTCTTTGAACCCCCACACAACCTAATTCAACAGTGATTGATTTTGTCACTTTCATCCCTGCTACTTTCTTTTTTTTTTTTTTTCTCTGCTGAGAGACTTGAAAATGCAACAGGTCATGGTCACAGCACACTGCAGCATGTGTCTCTGAGGAGGAGGGACCTGCTTTTATTTGTGATCTCCTTTTGACACCTAATGAAGTTAGCACTGCTTCCTTGTCATGGCAAACACCCAGCCCACCAGAAAGTGTCCCCGTCTATCTTGAAATGTTTTTTAATAATGGTTGGATTATCTAGATCAGGCACCAAACAAGGTCTTCATGTTCCCTGTAGTGTCTTTTTTAAAGACTCCTTTCACTTTTTTACTCCGTAGTGAGTGACTAGCTGAGGCGATGACGTGTTTTGCTGTAGACCGTCCCAGGGTCTGGATGTGTCATTTCACACGTCCCTCAACCTCCTGTCTTTCCCTTTAAATGGAAGCCAGCACTGGAAGTTTGGGTAGAATTGTTTTCTTTTTTTTTTTTTTTTTCTCTCCCTTGGTTAGCTTCTCTGTTAAGAACCCTTCCCAGGCAGTGCTCACTGCCTCAGGTTGCGTCACATCAGGAGGGAGAAGGCGTGAGGTTGTGTCACTTTCAGTGATGCCAGCATTCATCAGTGGGGTCAGGGGGTGGTAGCTTGTAAAGTTCTCCATTGACCAGCTTTCATCCATTGATGAGTCCTGCTTTGATCAGTTATTTCATCGGGAGTTGCCAAATGGTTATTTTTTGATTCCATCATCCTTCCACCACTTAGAGCCATGTGGCTATCCCTACTTACCAGAGGGGCCACATCAATGGTTCATTATTTTGAATTGCCAACTGTCAGAGTAAGAAGTTGGGAGAAGCATCATTTAAAAAAAAAAGATCTGGGGAGCTGATGCTGTAGAGAGGCTGGTTTAATATGGGATGCTGGTGTTTCCCACATGAGAGCACCCGTTTGAACCCTGACCCAGCTCTCTGTTAATGTGTCTGAAGCAGCAGAGCAAGATGACCAAGTGCTTGTGGGAAACCTGGATGTTGTTCCGGGCTCATTGGCTTTAGCTTGGCGCAGTCCTTCTTGCTGCAGCTACTCAAGGCTTGCTCTGCCTTGCTTGCTTGCTCTGCCTTTTAAATCAATAAATACTAAAAAAAAAAAAAAAAAAGTTTGAAACTTGGAGCTGAACAAGATATACATGGCCTGAAAAAACATGGGAGAAGGAAAGGCTTTTCTGGAAACTGTCTCTCCCCCATGTGTGTGTGTGTGTGTGTGTGTGTGTGTGTGTGTGTGTGTGTGTACAGTATAGACTCTGGAGAGTTCAATGTCCTGGCCCTTCTGCAGCAGTGAGACTAGCCTGTGTGTTCTGGTTTTCAGAGAGCTGCAGGACCCAGAGAACAGACCCAGGGAAGATAAGCCTAGGAAGATGGAGGCAGAGGAAGGGAGCCAGCCAGATACAGGGAGGCAGAACGAGAGATAGGAAGTGAAAAAAAAATCTAGATATAGAAGACAGGAAGAGAAGCAAAGACAGAAAGGGCAGTTTGAAAAGGAGAACAGAGTGTGATGCCCCAGCAACAGAATAAGACAAAAGCAGAGGAAAGTAGAATGGATGAGAAGGCAAGCATCGGGAGTGGGCAGAAGGCCACAGAAAGACACATATGCTCAAGTGCCTTTCAATCATAGGAAGTGGGGGGCCTTGAGAGTGGGACACAGATGTAGTGGCACAAGTGAGGTAAAGGCAGAATGTCCCAGTGAGAATAGAGGGAGAAAGTA